TTATAATGATTTATAATTATAAAGATTATTTATAAAAATAATAAATATAAAAATAATAATTTATTTAAATTTTTCTATGATCATAAGAATGAAAGATAAATTTATTAGATAAATTATTAAAGATAAATTTAATAAGAATTAATAATAAATAAAAATAGAATAATAAAAATTAATTATTATAATTGAAAAATAAAAATTATAAAACTTTTTAGGTAAATTAATTCTAAATTTTGAAATATAAGAATCAATTTTTTTGAATTATAATTTTTTCATAAAAAAAATACAAAATCATGTTAATAATGATGTATAACTATACATAAATGAAAAGAAAATACAAAGACAAGAAAAATGCTGCTTGTTCAGATTAATTCACTCATCGTCACATTGTTATATGATTTAATTTGTTAGTGTGGGACTTTTGGTCAATACCTATTTTTATGCATTGATTTTATCTGGTTTAAATGACCAGTCAAATTTACATATTTTCAAAGTACATATACATACTTATATAATATATGAGATAAGCAAATATTAAATAAAATTCATTAGTAAAAATAAGAAAAAAAATTTTAATTGGTAGTTCGGTTGAATTTATTAGAAAGACAAAAGTTTTTTTTAACGAATGTAAAATTTTATTTTATTATTGATAAATTAATTTAAATAATTTTTTATATATATAAATAATCATAGTATAAGTATTTATATCATAACTTTAAATAAGTGATATATTTTAAAATAACTTATACTTTTACGATACATTATAATTGTAAAAATAAAAATATTTTTTCATTTGAAATGAATGATATATTTTAATATTTATAATCTATTCTTTAAAACGATATTAAAAAAATATTACTAAATGTATATAAAAATTAAATATATAATTTCTAATATTAATATAATACAACTATAACAATACAAATATAATGATTTTTATCTTACTGATCAATTTATTGAATTGTATTTTTCAATAATATTTATATATATTAAAAATAATAAGTATTTTTCTATATAGTAAAATTTTAATAAAATTTTTATAATACATTTGAGGTACTATCGTTATTGTTGCTGATGTTTTATAATATATCAATTAGAAAATTGAATATATTAAATCATAAATTTTTAATTTAAATTTTTCACAAATTTTTATGATAACGATTATCTTTTTCTCTATATAATCTAATGTATCTTATAAAAACATCAGTTTGATATAACTTTATGTACAATGGGAGATATAAATGTCAATATTTACAAACATTATACAAATTTATTTAAATATAAATTCAATATTATATAGAATCTGTTCAATTGATATTCGTATGTGGTGCATATGACGATCGACTGCGCAGTTTTAATGTACACATACAACTATTCTAATATACATTTCAATAATTGATATGTATGTGAAATATGAATAGAAAGAACGAGGCAAAGTGGCATCGTCCCCACGCACGCGATTTACATGCGCGTCAACTACCAACGGTAATTGAAATAGCAGTAGTGCTATTGCTTTCCATTCGATCGGACTTGACTATCGCAGTGAACAAATGCGCATGCGCATTTTGTTGTTTCGTTTTATACGCCTGCGCGTGCCATTACTTCTTTTGGCGCACAATTAATAGATTTGTTGAACTATCAAGATATGACCGTGAATCATAAGTGAAAATAATCTGCGATTTCGATCCTGCAGTTTTTTTTGAAATTGTTTAAAATAAATAGTGTTTGTTATTAATACATTTTGTTTGGAAATTGTTTGCATTTTTCTAACTTTAACGAGTTTTCTAATAGATGAATATTATTACGTGAAGAGAAAGATGCCGTTTTTTTCATCATATTGTAGGTATTGAATCATGAAATAATAACAATTTAAGTTTGATTTTTATAATAATATATGATATTTATAACAATAGAATTTTTGGAATATTTTATTTTATATAAAAATATCCATATAAGATATGTATATTATTATATTATTACATTATTAAGATATATTATAAGATTATAAGATTATGTAAGATGTATTATAGTAATAGAATTTGAACTTATTTCATTAAACTTTCGATATTTTAAGCGATTTGATTGACATTCGTGTTTTTAAATGGAATAGATTTTTTAATAAAACGATTCTATATGATAGGAATTTATAAATGTATATATATAAATATATATAAAAATATATATAAAACTATGCAATTTATTATATATAACAGTTTACATTATATGAGATTAAATAAAGAAAATTAAATATATGTATAATTTTAATTGCATTAAAAAATAAAATACAAAATATTATTTTTAGTTAATATATACAATAAAAGGATATTATTTCTTTTAATAGTTTTTATATAAAAAATATATAATATTTAAATATTATTATTATGTAAGTTTCATTAGCATATTCATTATTTTATATTTGAGTTTTTTGTCATGAAATAATTAAATATTAATTAATATGATTTTTGCACAATGAAATAGTGATAGTTTATATAAGATTTATGTGTATATTTCCAAGAAGGAAACAATATCTTACATAAAATGATTATTATTAATTACTTTATAAATGATTCATATATTACATAATAGATTTATATAAAATAGTATTTAAATTATTTAATTGAAATATATTGTGATATAGTTATTTTTAATTAATAATACAAATGTAATAAATATTTCGTGTTCTTATGAAAGATTTCTATTATTTTTTATATTATGTTTATTTTTATTTTTAGAGTTTTATAGAATTATAAATTCTAATAGAATAATATATTTAGTCTTATTCTTTTTATCGATAAATTTAATTAATAAAATAATGCGTTATAATGTTTAAAGCAAGTTTAATATGAACGGACACAATCAGTCATTTCTATATTAAGAATCTATAATTAGAAATTTATATCTATGGTAATCATTTCGCATAAATAGAGTAAATGCGATATAAGTAAAAAAAAAAAAAAAAAAAAATATTCATGAAAATGTATTCAATTAATTTTTATTTTTATATAAGTTTTATTTCTTTTTCTTGAAAAAAAAATGCGATTTATGTATATTTTTTTCTTGAAAAAGTAAAATATTATAAAATAATAAAAAAATAATAATTCAAAATTCAAATATAATATAATATATATAATCAATATATAATTATTTAACAAAATAATTTTTATTGTATAATTTTTTAAAAAAATAAAATTTTTATAAAAATAAATAAAAAAATATTATGTATTTTACATACATTATAAATTTGTAAATTTATCATGAATAATAATAATTCATTTTATTAATTTTATAGTATCGTATATTTATCTTTGAAATATTTTTTTAATTATTAAGATTTTTTTCTATAATAAAGTAAAAGTAAAGTAATATTGTTATAAAATAAAACTAAAATATCATTACTTATAAATATGCAATTTATATATGTTTATACATGTTTATACATAAGTATATATTTATATTTATTGTATATGCACATATTATTATAGTATATACACATATTATATTTAGTTTATTTATATTATATCATGAAACATCCTTGAAAATTGATTGTAGAGAGGAAAATAAATAAAAAATGTTATACAAAAATATTGCTTAAGATTTCTTTATTTAGCAATGTAATTTCATGTTAGATGAAGAAGTGAGAACACAATACAATGATATAATAATGAGATAGAGCGATTTCATTCTCTCATTTCGTCTAATGTAAATTTCAGTTGCTTATAACTTAATAAATAATAAAATATATATATATAAATAAAAATTTTAATATTAAAATTTGATATTTTATATATTTTTTTCTATTTGTTTTTATTTTTAAAATTGATTTTCCAAAGATAATATGATTTTAAAAATAAAATATGTACATTATGTTGTTATTACAATATATATACAGAATATATTTATCCTAATATATTTATCATAATATTCTATATGTATATTGTATAATAACAACATAATATATATGTTTTGAAATCATATTACCAATTGAAAAGTTACACATATGAAAATCATGGTTTTGAACATATATTGAATATGTCTATCTTACAATCCATGTATTGTTTTTAAAAATATACATATATTAATATATTCTTATTTTATTATATATTATTTTTATTATTAAACTTTGGCATTTTCTTATTTTATTTGAATATAATTTGAAAATAATTTGAAATAAGAATTTTAGAAAACTATTAATCTAACTATTAAACATTTTTTATCTATAATAATTTTTTGATGAATAAAATAAAAAAATATTAATTTTAATTTTTAATTCATAATATTAAAAAATATACTTTTAAAAATGCATATTATTGATGCATATACATTAAGTTGTACAAATGAATTGTGTCATTTGAATCATTGTGGGATAAAAAACAGATATTCTATGGCGATTTATTGATTGTAGGTGTAGATTTCTAGTTTTTCATGTACATTCCAACTAATATATTAATTGTTAATAAAATTTTTATTTGTTGAAATTAAATTTTTTATATTGTATTTACAATATAAGCTGACAATTTTTCTAATTTTATTAATTAATTTTTTCATTATCTTGAATATTCTGTATCCAAGATCTATCCAATATTTTGTTATCTCTTAAATACTTTGTATCCAAAGATAAATCAAAATTAAATTTATCTTCAAACATTTCTAGCTTTTGATTAATATTATATAGTTTTATTTAGTTATATATTAAGTTTAAAAGTTATATATTAAGTTTATATAAAGTTTTAAAATTAAGATTATTTTTTTTGTTAAAAAAGATTTTTATTAATAAAAAATTTCTGTTGATAAAAAAAGAATAAAATTAATGGTTCTCTAAACTAAAATTCAATCTTGAAATAATGAATTATTTTAAATATTTTATCTTTTTATCTTTATCTTTATCTTTATCTTTATCTTTATAATATCGTCAGAAAAATAATTTTATTTCGATTGAGATATACGTAAATTATCTTAAAAATAATATTTTTTTTTATTTATTTAACATGCTTATCAATTTGAATGATCATTTTTGTTTTATAATTTACAATGAGCATTATATGGCTTGTTTAAAATTAGTATCCATTTGATTGAACTAAACTAAATTTAATTGAAGCTTTCCTTAATATTGCAATAATAATACAATTAAAAAAAATATTATTATAGTTTTTATACTTAGTCTTAAAATTAGTTTAAAATTATTTTTAAATTATATATTTTTTAAAAATTGTGATTGCAGAATTTATAATACTGTCAAAATGACTGTTATTTTTCAAAGAAAGAACGTATACGGACATTTCTATCATTTGAAGCACTCAGATTGTATATATTTTGATATTATTTTTAAGTTAAGCAATGTTGCATAATTTTTTTATATTTTTAGTTATTTCAATAGTAGGATTTTATCATAAATTTAAAATTTTCTAAAATTAAATTGACAAAGATGGTCCATTGCAAGACAACTATATATTGAATTTCGCTATATATAGAATGCAAAAATCCATAGCATTAGTCAAAATTCTCACCCTTCTTGCCTCTCTTTACAATAGATTTTTTATAAATATTATATATATATAATATATCATTTTTCATGAAAATTAATTTTTTTGGTTAGCTATTTTTGATTTCATTTAATCTATATTAATGTTAGGACCTATACAATATTAAGTTTATAAATATACTAGTGAACAAATTTTGATTCAATATTCATACGCATCAAAGTTTTAAAATTAGATTCCATTTTTTCATATTTTTTAAAAAAATATCGAAATAATATCGAAAAATCATCAAATATCTCAAAATATATCTCCCCCCCCCCAAAAAAAATATATCCCAAAATATATCCCAAAATATATCAAAAAAATAAAAAAATATTGATGTTTATTTAATATTTTATTTTTCATTTTTATATATTATCAAAGATAAATATTGAGTTTAGTTCGATAGAGTGAAAGAATAAATATAGAATAAATGGAACCGAGATAAGCGACTAACAACGATCATCTAATTTTCAATAATTTTATCAATAATTTTATAATGTTTATAAATGGAAGTTAAAATATAAATTAGATATCAAAATCTTCGTAAAATATCAAAGCATACGTAAATTAAATAAAATAAATCATCAAATTAATATCGATATTTTCACGAAGAATCAAATTGAATCATTAATTCAGACGGTTTTAGGTGCACAAAAAAATATACATTATTATTAAAAATATAGTATTAATTATTAATTATAATATTACTTAATAATAATATTATTTTAAGAAATCAATCATTAAATATCTAAAATTTTTACATTGATATCTTCTATTAAATATTTGAATAATCGATATTATTCGATTCGATCACTATTTATGATTTTTCTTTTTTTCTTATTTTCTTATTTGTATTTTTTACAAAAGAATTGTTGATTTATTAGATTTATACTTACTTCTCTTATATATGTAGATTATTTGAATGTTTCATGTTTTTACGATGTTTATGTAGTTCGAATTAAAGATTATTTAATAGTGAAAAATTAAAAGGTTTAAAGATTTTTCTAGAATTCTTTATGTCGCTTTTTTAGTATAAGAAAAATAAATAATTATTTATTTTTATCATTAGATTTGTTAAATATGAGTTTTTTCAAGATGGAATTAGTAGAAGATGTGATTAGTTTGTAGCAATTACATATCACTTGCTATCTTATAAGTTCTAGCAGCATTAATTTATTTTTCACTTTTAAAATTTGACATTGTGCTTGTGTATAACGGTTTTAGTACTAACGAAGATTTAAATATATTGAATAGAGAAAGAATTTTATTTGATCAATAAATGCTCAATTGAATTTCAATCAAATAACTAATTTATATATATTTA